ACGGGTCCGGGCTCTCACTGTCTGCAGGGAGCTTCACGCCGTGAGGGCCTTGCCCTGTGCCATGTCTTCTCATTGCGCAGAGGCTGGCCCACCCGGAGCTGCTTGTTCTCCAGAAATTTTCTGACATAGGAGAGAAAACAGTACAGTAAGCTGCCGCGTACGCATCACCTAGTTCCAGGAGTTACCTACCTTTCGGGGCTTTCTGTCCGCGTCACCTTGTCTCCTACTTGTCTGAAAGCAAACTCCAGATCTCATCTCACCAAGAGGTTGTTCAGTGTGAATCTAATTCGGGAAGGATTTAGATCCTGCGTGTGTATGTGCAGACCACAGAGCTGTCATACTCCTAGCAGAAATAACGGTAGACTAGTGTCGGAATAGCCAGTCCAGTGTAGGTTGCTGTACTTGCCCTCAGGGATGCCTGCGCTTCCACGCGTTTGCACCTGGAAAGCTGCATTGGGTAGGCCATCTTGCTGAAGTGAGGGGTGGGCTGGTTGGTTTGTGCCTGCATGATTGGGCAGTGGCCGTGATGCAAGCATGTTGCCATGGAGACAGTGTGATGTCACAGAGTAGGCTGTGACACACGTGAGAATGCTGAGAACAGCCATTTGCTCTTAATTTCTGGTTGATGAACCTAGGTAGTAAGGACACTGAAAAACACGTGCAGGACCCAGAGGTTTATTTCAAGGATTTCCCGGCTCTGAACATCTTTCCATGGGGTTCCCCCCACGGCCGCTTCACTACATCCTGAATGGGGGATGGTCGTGGGGCGGGGCCTCTCTCAGGCGAGGGTCCTGAGCTGGTTTCTAGGGGAAAGGCCCTAGGCCTTTACTCCAGTAAGTGGCTGTCCCGCAGGGTCCGGTTTGAGGATCCTGGGCTTCTGCACTTAGGCCAGCCGTTACACATTTGAAGAGGTGGGGCCTCCTTTGTAATGTTTGTCATTTTGTCCCTAGTTAATGGGTCATTCAAGAGCCTACCCAGGCAATTTGTTGAGAGCCTGGGCAGTTAATGGTTGTAATCCCGACCTTCACATTAACCTAGCCACCTCATGGCCTTCAGGTAACCACCGCTGCTCCCACCAGTTTCCATCTTCCCTCATGGCTCCCGCCGCCTTCCCCCCACACCCCCTTTGTAAACTGGAGGGAGCACTAGCCCGGGGCCCTCTGAGCTCCAGCGCAGCCCTGCTGCCCAGAGTTGCCAGGTTGTCAGGCGTCGCTGTTGCAGGGCCTTGGTCCCAGGCCCTGGCTGTTCTCGCGCCTTTCCTCTTGGTCAGCCACCTGCTTTCTGTCAGAGCTGAGGAGGGGAGAGGTCGGTTTCGTCAGTTTTGTCAGCAGAATTGGACGAGAGGATGGTGACGGTCAGGCCAAGTGACATGGGGACGTGTTGGTCAGTAGTGTCCCCCAGGGAGAAGTCGGCTGTCGGTCCCCTCAGTTGAGGACTGTCATGTGGAGGTGGGCTCCTGCTGGCTGGGTCCTAAAACCAACACCCACTGCTTACTGTGGGCCTCCCCCACCCCACCCCTGTAGCAGCTCAGTTGGCCCTCACGTTCCCTGAACTAGGTACTGCTGTTGTCCCATTCTGCAGATGAGGAGACCAAGGCTTAGGGTGGTGCACACTGTAGGGGGAAGGCAGAGCTGGTTAAGCTGCTTGGTTTGCAGAAGGAAGCGTGGTGCCCCAGACATGCTCTAGGCTCCGTGAGGCTGCCCCTGCGGGCATTTCCAGGAACGGGCCTCGAGATGCAGTGTTGACTGAGAGAGGAGCAGCCTGCTCTGAATGTGGACGCTTCAGCACCTGCAGCTGTGTCCTCCAGGAGGCATGAGCCTGGGCTGACTCTAGGCCTCTGCCCGTGTCCTCCTGGGGCCAGTTCCACGTGCATCTCCCAGTGCGGCTGGTTCCTGTCCCCATGGCTCTGGGGACGAAGCCACCCTGCGCAGGCCAGTGCCGCGGGCTTTTCTTGTGAATGCTTGTCTCGAGAGGGCCTGGCAAGTCCAGATTGAAAGGCTCAGCGTGGTGGGGCTTCCTGCTCTTCTTGGGGGATTGTGTCATGGTCTGTTAGGCGCCCTCCCTGGGTGTCTGATCCCACTCTCACATGGACTTTGCTGGCTGCTGTCCTGTGGGGGCTGCTGCGTGGCCCTCGTGGTTTCCACTGGCTCTCCTAGTTGGCTTTTCTGTTTTCCTTCTGTGGAAGAGTCTGAAGAAAACAGTTACATTCAGTCTTGCATTCATGCAGGCCATTTAGGTGTGTGTGTGGGTGCCTGTGTCATGTCATGAGGGGCATGGCTCAGGTCCCAGGGGCCCTTCTGGAATCACCTCTCCCAGTGCAAGGAAACAAAGTTGCAAGTGTCCACTGCCCTGTTGTCACTGTGGGGCTGGTGCTTCCCAGTCCAGGGTGCCAGGGCTGCTGGGCTTGAGAATGTGGCTGCTGTCTGTGGGTGGGTCCCAGGGCCAGCCTGCCCTGCCTTCCTCGTCCTTTGGAATGAAAGTGCTTTCTTTAGTGGGCTGGGGAAGCTTTTCTCTGCCAAGAGCCATGTGGATATTTATAGTATCATTGCAGGCCACACCAAATTATCAAGTCCTGCGTGTGGTTCCCTTGGCAGGGCCAGACCAAACTGTTTCTCCGTCCGTTCCCCACCCTTGTCCTAGAGCCATTCCAGATACTGCTTAAGGCTCACTGAATTTCTTGGAAGGTCTTTTGTCCCCCATCCCAGGTGTTAGATGGAGAGCAACTCCAGCCCACACTCTGGTCTGGGCCAGCTGGGCCCTGGGCGAGAACTTTGCCTGCCATGCTGAGTGTTGGTTAGGTGTGGGGCCCTGGAGGCCTCCTTCCAGCTCAGGCTCAGCTGATGTGCCCCTGTTGAACAGGGGGGCTGCTGTGTCTCTCATTCAAGGAGGGGTGCAGGAAAAGAGGCGGTCAGATCCCTGGCACAGAGTAGATGCACACAGATTGTGGCCTGAATGGTGATCAGCCCCTGTCTGCTGGTCGCTTTCCAGACTGAAGGATGGACAGTGACAGTCTTTTTAGCTTTTCTTCATGAAGGCCAGCCTGGGTGCTCCCCAGCTCCTGCCCCATGTCTGTCTGAGGCAGCCCTGACCGGCCCACAGTGTTCCCATCAGGGACTCCCCGTCACTACCCCCCAGTGTCTGCACAGCAGGAAGTTTGCCATGGTGCCGACTAACAGCCTCTCCCTCTGGACGAAACCAGTTTTCCCAGTCAGGTGGCCCTTTGCTGTGGGTGAGGCCGTCCTGCCGGAGCGGGCCGCGCCCTGGCTGGGCGGGAAGGTGCCTCACTGGGCAGGAGTGCTGCCTCTGTCCTAATCCCGGGTTTGCTGCCTCTTGCTGGGGCTCCCGGGACAACTCAGTGCGCAGGAGGAGACAGCGCCAGGTGTGCATCATCATCAGCTCCCTGATCCCTTTGGAATGGCAGGAAGTGCTTGCTTTTGTTCCTTCTTTCGTTCGTTCTTTTTTTTTTTTTTTTTTAATATTAATTTATTTATTTGAAAGGCAGAGTTAGAGGCAGAGAGAGAGAGAGAGTGGTCTCCTATCTGCTGGTTCACTCCCCAAATGGCCGCAACAGCTGCAGCTGGGCCAATCCAAAGCCAGGAGCCAGAAGTGCCTTCTGGGTCGCCCACGTGGGTGCAGGAGCCCAAGCACTTGGGCCATCTTCTACTGCTTTCCCAGGCCATCGCAGAGAGCTGGATCGGAAGAGGAGCAGCCGGGTCTCAAATTGGTGCTCATATGGGATTCTGGTGCTGCAGGCAGTGGCTTTACCTGCTACGCCACAGCATTGGCCCCTTGTCCTGCTTTCTGTATTTGGGAAGTTGCCTTTGACCTCTGCCCTGGGGCATCCATGGGCCAGATCCCATTCCCTTTGACTTAGGAGGGAGAGTCGATGGGAAATCTCCTTAGGGATTCCCTGATGTTTGGGGAGTTGCTCTGAGAACAACAAAGGGGCAGGGGTCCCTGGAGGTCTCTACTGCCTGTTTCCCACAAAGCCCATGAGAACCTTGGGCGCATGCCCTCTGCTCAGCCAGGGCCTCCCGTGGCCGTTGGCTCCCTTTGCGGCTGCCTTGGGCCCGAGTCCATCACCTTCCTCTTCATGTTGCTTTTGGTCTCTTTGTGCCCAGGTTAATGGAGATGGACTTGATACGCTCCCACACTAACCTTTCTGTGGTCATTTGTGAGGAACTTGGATGATTTTTTAAAATGAGAAGAAAGATTTTTTTTCCCCCTTACCAACTCCTGTACTTGTGAGAACTGTGTCTGTGGGTTTGGCTCAAACACTGGATTCTTTTCCAGCTGCTCCGTCCTTAACCCGTTCCCTGCTCCCCCAGCCCTACCCCGCAGATATTTGGGTCTGAGGAGGGCCCTGTTGGCAGCATCTGGTGTGTTTGGAGAGCACTTTCAGTTTGGAAGGCTGCCATGATGGGGCAGGGGCCGGCACGGGTGTCTGGTGGGCGAGAAGGCAGGCTCAGCGCGGGGCCTGGGCACCAGTGGCTTCTCTGGGGCTTTGGTCAGTACGTAATGGCCAAGGCCCAGGCTTGCCTGTGGGGAGGTCCAGGAAGCAGAGGAGCACCCTTGACTCAGAAGCTTGGCCCCCTGTCCGCTGTTCACAGCAGGGCACCTCTGGGGGCGTCTCTGGGAAAAGGAGCTTCTGCGGAGCAGAGCTGTGTGGCCCGGGCTGCCCGGCGTCCTGGAGGCTCCGACAGCCCGAGCACTGTGCTCCCCTGCCAGGGCGTTCCACGCTCGCCACCACGGGGGACACTGGGAAGTCCTGGCCTAGATCTGTCCCCTCATCAGTGGTAGTGCCTTTCAGTGCTGACTTTACCACCCACCCCATCTCAGCCAGGTGGGACAGGAGGCAGGGCCTGAGGGGCCTCTCGGGACCTCTCCCAGGGGTCACAGCTCTCGCCTGCTAGTCAGGCCTTCTGTTCCTCCGGGGGCCAGCCCAGGACCCCCGGGGGTCTCCTGTCAGACCTGTGTTCACACTGCTTTGGGGTTTGTAGGGAAGATGGTGAGTTGGAAGAAGGTGAACTGGAAGATGACGGGGCTGAGGAGACGCAGGACACCTCTGGAGGGCCGGAGAGAAGCCGCAAGGAGAAGGGGGAGAAGCACCACAGCGATTCTGACGAGGAGAAGTCTCACAGGAGACTGAAGCGGAAGCGCAAGAAGGAGCGGGAGAAGGAGAAGAGGCGGTCGAAGAAGAGGAGGAAATCCAAGCACAAAGTAGGTCGGGGAAGGTTGGCTGGGGCTGCCGCTGCCTGGCTGCCGGCCTGGCCCGGGGCTGAGCCTGTGCTGGCGGCCAGAGGGCACTCAGTGTGGAGTCCTCCCGCCCTGAGTCAGATAAAGAGCTTTCTTTAAAAAGTCAGGGCTTACGCTCCATTGCCACTGAGTGCCCCCAGGGAAGGTGTTTCAGGGCCAGCGACCGCACGGCCCCTCCGGCACCTCTCAGCAGTGTTTGTCTCGGGGCTGGCGGCCCAGCCGAGAGACGCTGAATCCCTTTCCCTGTCGTTGCAGCGCCATGCTTCTTCCAGTGATGACTTCTCGGACTTCTCAGATGACTCGGATTTCAGCCCCAGCGAGAAGGGGCACCGCAAGTACCGGGAGTACAGCCCCCCGTATGCACCGGTGAGTGACGTGGGCTAGAGCTGGGGCCAGGACAGCCGCCCTGCTGGGAGCTGGATCTGTGGGTTTGAATCCTGCACATAGGCACAGAATTGAAGTGGAGGAGCTGGCATCTGAGCTCAGGCAGTTAGCTGTTCTGCCGAGGAGCTCAGTGTGTCTCAGGGAGAGGCCGGCGGGCTCCCGTGAGCGCCCCCTGTTCCCCAGTGCAGACGTGACCTTTCGTGGAACACTGGCAAGAGAAGAAGATGGGTAGTGGGAGGAAATTTTCTCACCTGTTGCAGAGTTAGAAGTTAAATACTTACCCCTTGTGTCTCTCAGTGTCAAGTTTAACTTTTTTGTGCAGCTTCTATACCATCTTTTTTTCTCCCAGAAAATCTCGCAAGGAAAAAAGGCAACTTGGCTTCTTAGGTTCTGATAAGAAATGTCAAATGTGGTTAGTAGGTCTTTTTTTTTTTTTTTTAAAGATTTATTTATTTGAGAGGTAGAGTTACAGATAGTGAGAAAGAGAGAGAGGAAGGTCTTCCAGCGGGCACCATGGCTCACTTGGCTAATCCTCAGCCTATGGCACCGGCTTCCCAGGTTCTAGTCCCGGTTGGGGCATCGGGTTCTAGTCCTGGTTGCTCCTCTTCCAGTCCAGCTCTCTGCTGTGGCCCAGGAGGGCAGCAGAGGATGGCCCAAGTGCTTGGGTCCCTGTACCTGCATGGGAGACTGGGAGGAAATACCCAGCTCCTGGCTTCAGATCAGCACAGTGCCGGCCGTGGCAGCCATTAGGGGAGTGAACCAACAGAAGGAAGACTTTTCTCTCTGTCTCTCTCACTGTCTATAACTCTCTCTCTGTCTAACTCTGCCCAGCAAAAAAAAAAAAAAAAAAAGGAAGGTCTTCCATCCACTGATTCACTCCCCAAATGGCCACACCAGCCAGAGCTGAGCTGATCAGGAGCCAGGAGGCACTTGGACCAACTTCTGCTTTCCCAGGCCATAGTAGAGAGCTGCATCAGAAGAAGAGCAGCCGGGGCTAGAACCTGTGCCCATAGGGATGCCGGTGCCGCAGCAGAGGATTAGCCTACTGAGCCACAGCCCTGGCCCCCGCTGGTGGCTCTTGAGGCTGCTAGCCCCTGTCCTGTGACTGAGCACTGCCCTCAGCAGTAGTTGTCATGGTCCGACACCACAGCTGAGTGAGCTCCTGTGGAGGCTCAGACCCTAAGCCTGAGGGAGCAGGGAAGGCAGGGAACGCAGTGTGCTCCGCTGTGAACTAGAGCTTGAAGCGTTTTGGGATCTGCTAAAGCACACATGTCTCTGTCCACATTTTGCTTTGTGCTGTTCTACAGTGAAGATGGGTGTGAAAAATTAACGGTCTTCCTTTGTTAGAGTGGCTTTAGAGCAGGCATTCCCACGTGTTTGGTGGCCTGCACCCTCGGGGCCGTGGTTGCAGTTGCATGGTGTTACTTGTTGGGGCTCCGTCACGTGACTTGCATCAGGCTTCTGCAGTTGTTTGTGTTGAGTGGAATGGCTGGCGTAGGGATACACAGTGCAGGCTGCCGCCGCAGCGCTTCCCTGCCCCGGGCATCTGCTGGGCGGTGTCATCCCTCCTCCCCGGCAGCCAGCCATCTTGCTACTGTCTCCAGTTTGCCTGCTCCAGAATAGCATAGCTGGAGTCTCCCCATCCAAAGCCTCTACACACTGGCTTCTTTCTCTAGCCTTCAGCATGTTTGGCTCCTATCTTTGTGGCGTCATAGCTCATCTCTTTTCTTTGCAAACAGTCCTCCGTTTGCTGCATGTGCCACAGTGTTTTTATCCATTAATTTGCTGCTTGCTTCCATTTTGATATGTGTCACGCATCCAGCAGCTCTTGGCTCCAGCACACTTTGGGAAGCATCATGTGAGACTATGTAGTTGAGTCTGGCCCCAAGCAGGTTATTGAATTCTAAGACCCTAGGAAAAAATTTTTAATAAAGATTTTATTTATTTACTTGAGAGGTATAGTTACAGACAAAGAGAGGGAGAGACAGAGAGAGAAATCTTCCATCTGTTGGTTCACTCCCCCAATGGCTGCAACAGCTGGAGTTGGGCTGATCCAAAGCCAGGAGCTTCTTCCGGGTCTCCCATGTGGGTGCAGGGGCCCAAGCGCTTGGGCCATCTTCTACCGCTTAACCTACTATACCACAGCGCTGGACCCCCGGGGGAAATTTTGACCAAGGAGCAGGCCTCCCGCCTATCAGACCCATTCCCTAAATGTATTTGCTCTTCATCCCTGGAAAATGCTCCCTTCTCTTACCCTCGGTTCATCAGGGATTGTGGGGTGTGTCGTCCTTTCTGAAGAGGAGAAACACTCCAGTCCTTGGGGGAGAAGCTCCCTAAAGTGGCTGGAGGCCGGGGATAGTAGAGAGCCAGACAGATGGAGTATCTTGGTGGTCCCAAGCCAGGTCTATGGGGCTGGCTCACCCTTCTCTCCTGGATCCTTTTGGGCCCCAGTCTCACCAGCAGTACCCTCCCTCGCACGCCACCCCTCTGCCGAAGAAGTCCTACTCCAAGATGGACAGCAAGGGCTACGGCCTGTACGAGGACTACGAGAACGAGCAGTATGGGGAGTACGAGGGGGACGAGGAGGAGGACACGGGCAAGGAGGACTACGACGACTTCACCAAAGAGCTCAACCAGTACCGGCGCGCCAAGGAGGGCGGCAGCCGGGGCCGAGGTGAGCCTCCTGCCCTGCCCCCGGGGCATCAGAGTGGCCACTGCACAGACCACAGCATCGGCCTCCCAGAGCCTCCTGTTCAGGGGGAGGGACAGGCAGGCTTTGTGGGTTGCAAGAGCATGCAGAGAGGGACTGGGAGCAGCACATGGTGATGCAGGGGCTGGGGTCAGGCATGTGAGAGACAGCGGGAGGAGGGTCCCAGGCTGGGCTGGGCGAGGCAGGGAGGAGGCCAGCATGGCCAAGGGCTGATTTTTTAAAATTCATTTCCTGGTTAGCTGTGGGGAAGAGATGGGACAGTTGCTCTCTTATCTGGAGTAGAGTAACACCCACTGTCTGCTCAGCTCCCGTCACCTGACAAGGTGTGTGACTTTAGCCCCTGGAACTGCCACACCTCTGAACCTTGACCTGTGGCTTGTGAAACTTGGTGGTGCTGGTGCTGGGGGGTGTGCGGTGAGCCCAGCATCCCAGCGGGAGGGGCTTCCAGAACCCTCCAGCCCAGAGGTGTTTAGTTTGCAGCAGTCCTTGGACAGCCCCGGGGGCCAGGCCCTCTGCTTTGGGGAGAGCCCAGACCAGTGCTGTCCAGTGAAAATAATGCAGGCTACACTGCTGGTTTACATTTTCAAGTTCCCACATAAAGAAATGATAAGAGGCTTGAGTGTTTGGTGCAGTGATCAAGACCCTGCCTCGGATGCCTGTATCCATATTGGAGTGCGTGGGTTCTAGTCCTGACTGCTGCTGCTGTTGCTTTTTTTTGTTTTTTTTTTTAAGATTTATGTGTTTGAAAGGCAGAAATAAAGAGAAGAAGGGAGAGAGGGAAAGGGGGTGGAGGGGGAGAGGGAGGGAGGGGAGAGAGATCTTCCATCTGCTGGTTCACTCCCCAAATGGCTGCAACGATCAAGGCTGGGACAGGCCAAAGCCAGAAGCCTGGAGTTTTTTCAGGGTCGCCCACATGGGTGCAGGGGTCCAAGGACTTAGACCATCTCCTGCTGCTTTCCCAGGTGCATTAGCAGAGAGCTGGATCAGAAGTGGAGCAGCCAGGTCTTGAACCAGTGCCCATAGGGGATGCCGGCACTGCAGGCAGAAGCTTAACCTTCTATGCCACAGCACCGGCCCCTGACTGCTTCTGATTTCAGCTTCCTACTAAAGTGCACCCTGGGAGGCAGGAGCGCAATGGCTCAAGTATTTGGATCCTGCCGCCCACTTGGGACACCTAGTTTGGGTTCTGGGCTCCTGGCTTTAGCTTGGCCCAACCCCGGATATTGTTGGAATTTGGAAAGTGAATTAGTGGATGGAAAATTTCTCTCTCTCCCTGCTTTTCAAGTTTAAAAAAAGTGAAAAGAAACATTAATTTTTAACAAGTTATTTTATTAACCCACCTCAGAATTTTATTTCAACATAATCAAGACAAATGAGGTATTTCCTGTGTTCTGTCTCCCCTGGTCTTTTTTTTTTTTTTTTTTTTTGGACAGACAGAGTTAGACAGTGAGAGAGAGAGACAGAGTGAAAGGTCTTCCTTCCATTGGTTCACCACCCAAATAGCTACTATGGGCGGTGCACTGCGCTGATCCGAAGCCAGGAGCCAGGTGCTTCTCCTGGTCTCCCATGGGGTGCAGGGCCCAAGCACTTGGGCCATCCTCCACTGCACTCCTGGGCCACAGCAGAGAGCTGGGCAGGAAGAGGAGCAACCGGGACAGAACTGGCGTCCCGACCGGGACTAGAACCCGGAGTACCGGTGCCGCAGGCGGAGGCTTAGCCTAGTGAGCCGTGGCGCCGGCCTCCCCTGGTCTTTGAAGTCCACCGTCTGCTCTGCACTCGCAGCAGCTCTTGGTTTGGCCCAGCCACGTTCAGGTGTGCAGACAGATGGAGTATCTTGGTGGTCCCAAGCCAGGTCTATGGGGCCTGTGTCTGGTGGCTGCTGTGGTGGACGGTGTGGCCCTAAGTGAGCGAGTTCCCGTGAGGCAGAGTGGTGAATGCCATAGCCACTGTGTGCCCAGAACACAGGATGAGAACCTCTTGGAGGGGACTGTCTGCCGGGGCGGTTGGAAAGGCTTCGTGGAGGAGGAGGAGGAGGAGGAAGTGATGGGCTTCAGGGTGAAAGTGGGCTGCCCCTTCTCTTGTTGCTGGGATCGGATCCTTGCGGCTCACCGTGAGTTATCGTGCAGGCAGCCGAGGCCGTGGCAGGGGCTACAGGGGCCGAGGAAGCCGTGGCGGATCGCGAGGCCGAGGCATGTGCAGGGGCAGCCGAGGCCGGGGCAGGGGCTCTGTGGGAGACCATCCAGAGGATGAAGAGGACTTCTACGATGACGAGATGGAAGTAAGGTTTCTGCCGTCCTGCTGCGGGGAGGGGTGGCCGGTGGCTCTGCTGCTGCGCTGCCGTGGAAGGGGCCTCTGAGCCTAAGCGGGAGCACAGGTGGCCGTTGTGATGGGAAGGAAGTTCTGTGTTTGAGAGGGCAGGCTGTGGAAACGGCCCTGTCCCTAGGGGGGAAAGACTTCCTGCCTTGACAGTCAGGCACCTAGCTCGACACCGCCCCACGCAAGCACACAAGATGCCCGTCTGCTTTGTGGCCACACTGTTGTCAGTGTGTGCAGACGCTGTGCACGCGCACTGTCCAAGATTTGCCCCACGGAGTGGACTTGAGCCACCCCCTGTTGAGGTGGTCCCAAGTCTGCTGGTCGTCTGGTCTTTAGAGGGGCAGAATGTGTAGGTAGGGACTGTGTGTTCCTCTGTTAAAACTTCTTGCCCTCTCTCCTGTGGATGTTCTAGTACGGAGAGAGCGAGGAGCCGCTGGGAGACGATGATTATGATGAGTACTCCAAGGAGCTGAACCAGTACCGCAGGTCCAAGGACAGCCGAGGCCGAGGTGGGCAGGGCCCTGGGGGGAGGTGCTCGTGGGGGTTGCGGTCTGGGGAAAGGGCAGCAGGCTGATACCCATCTGTCTCCCCGCAGGGTTAAGTCGAGGCCGTGGACGGGGTTCCCGCGGTCGAGGGAAGGGCATGGGCCGGGGCCGTGGACGAGGTGGCAGCCGAGGAGGGATGAACAAGGGCGGAATGAATGACGAGGACGACTTCTACGACGAGGACATGGGCGTGAGTCCACGCTTCCCTCTGAGCCCGCAGCTCTGCCCCTGCTCCCGTCAGTCTCCCTCAGGGACTGCTCAGTCGTCATCTCTCCTGGGGGTGTCCTGCTAGCGAGACCCTCTGTGTTTGAAGCCACAGCTTTAGCAGCACCTCCTGACGAGTCCCGCAGGCTCCAGGGGTTCTAGGTGACCCGTCTGGTTAACCCTGCCTCTTCCTTGGGGGAGGATTGCTCCTGCACACCTGTGTGGGACTCAGAGCCTCAGCTGCCAGCACTGCCCACCCCAGGGCCTCACCCTGCACGCAGCCTCTGGGTTGCGCCCCTGTGAGTGCTCCTCCCCTTCCCCTGCGGGCATTCACTCAGAGCCCGTCTCCACCTCCCTCCTCACGCGCCCCCCCCCCCCCCACACACCGCTGTGTTCCTAACAGGATGGTGGTGGCGGAAGCTACCGGAGGAGTGACCATGACAAGCCCCACCAGCAGTCCGATAAGAAAGGCAAAGTCATCTGCAAGTACTTCGTGGAAGGGCGGTGCACATGGGTGAGGAACCACTTAACATAGCTGGGTGCGGGGGACACGTGGCCTCCCGGGTTGTTGGGGAGGGAGGGCCTCGTTCTTGGGGGAACTCATGGGTGCTGAGTTTGTTGGGTTCCTGTGTGGGGTTGCCTCAAAGTCTACTTCCCTTCTCAGTGGGGAGGACTTAGAGCAAGAGAGCAAGGTGATGCGGGTGCATGTTTTTGGTTTTAGCAGGATCGTTTTTGTCTAAGATTTTCAACCAAACCATATGGCCTCAAATGTGCTGATGGAGGTTGATGGAGAAGGACATATTAAAGCCTCCAGACAGAAAAGGGACAGTCACACTGTCGTACTAGCCAGGGGTTTCAGAGCAGTCAGAGCCGACGGATGGACCAGTAATGACTGACGTGCTGAGTGTTTTTGTTTGTTTGTTTTTGAGATTTATTTATTTAAAGGCAGAGAGGGAGTTAGAGATGGAGAGAAAGATCTTCCATCTTCTGGTTCACTCTTCAAATGCCTGCAACAGCCAGGGCTGGGCCAGCTGAAGCCGGTAGCCAGGCACTCTATCCAGGTCTCCCACATGATTGCAGAGGCCCCAAGCATTCGAACCATCACTGCTGCCTTCCTAGGTGCATTAGTGGGAAGCTGGACTAGAGGTAGTGTAGCCAGTACTTAAACTCACATTGTCATATGGGATGCAGGCATTGCAAGCAGCAGCCTAACTCGCTGTGCCACAACACTGGCCCCAAGCCCAGAGTGCTGAAGGAAGCACGTAGAATTCAGTGTACATTCACTGTTAAATGTAAGAGCAACAGGCAAGTATCAGCTATAACTCACCGACCCTGTAGAAAGTTGAAGGGGAACAGAGGACAGCGTCTGCTTTCTGTTTGCAGTGACTGAATGGGCCCTGTGAGGGCCGAGGAGGCGGTGGCCAGGGATTCCTCCCAGGGCTGCTGTTTGCCTTGTTCGCAGACAAGGAAAAGTGAACATCATCAGCTTCAACACACATGTGCTTATGTTCAGACAAGAGTCTAGGGGTGATGGCAGAAGAGGGTTGGTGCCAGGCTTGCTAGTCCCTGGAGCACCCTCATCCTGTAGCCTGTCCTCGTCCTGCTCCCTGTCATAGATTGATTAGGGATTCTGGCTTCTGTCCTCCTCGCTGCACAGTGGCCCCCACCCAAGGGCCAGGGGAAGAAAATGGGTGAGAGGATTTTTTAATTCCTGGAGTGTGCCCTCTGGAGTCTGGACCACGTCCGATTGGCTGGATTGGCAGTGGCGGCTGGGAGATGGAGAGTTTTTAGCTAAACACATTATTCCCAAACAAAACAGGGCTATGTTAGCAAGAAATGAGAGTCTGGATTACAAGCAGGTGAGCAGTAAAAACAAGCCAACAGTAGCTAAGAGAGGGGAGGGAGAGAAGAAAAGCAGAAGCAGGGTGGAGGGAGGGAGGGGCACGTGCGGTGTCCAGGAGCTGGCACCTGCTCCGTGGTGGTGTCTGGACCTGCCCTTCCCGGGCCCGGCGTGCTTTCTCCAGGGGCAGTCGCTTCTGCCATGGGCCCCTCTGCCGGCAGTGACCGAGGCTGCTTCCCTTTGCACGCAGCAGTAGGCAAGGGTTCTCCGCACCACCGCCTAACCTTGCAAGGGCTTCTCTTCCAGGGCGACCACTGCAATTTTAGCCATGACATCGAACTACCAAAGAAGCGAGAGCTGTGCAAGTTCTACATCACGGGATTTTGCGCCAGAGCCGAGAACTGCCCCTACATGCACGATATCCTTTGGCAGCCATGGCTCAGCTCCGAGCGCGGCCGCGCTTGGTTCATCAACAGTAGGAGCGGCTGAGCTTCCTCGGGCCTGTTCTCCGTGCGCCTCAGTCCCCATGACCCCTCACTCCTGCCCTGTCATGACTAAACTGAGGCACGTGCCCTGCGTCCCCGCTTCATGTGCACACAGCTGGCCTGTCTCAGGTTTTTGTAGCTGGCTTTGTAAACTTGGCTTTTGACTTCCCCATTCCCAGTCCCCAAGGCTTGCGGGCAGGAGCACGATGTGCTCTGTGCAGGAGTCTCTGGACCTGGCTCCTAACTTGTTTGCTGCCCAACCTCCGGGCACCCCTTCCCTCGTCTCCAAGGCCAGGGCAGTTGGATTTTCCTGCGGGCGGGTTCTGTGAAATGCAACATTTGCCTTAATTTGCCGTGAACGGGACTTCCCGTGCAAGTTGTACCACACAACTGGGAACTGCATCAACGGCGACGACTGCATGTTCTCCCATGACCCTCTGACTGAGGAGACCCGAGAGCTGCTCGACAAGGTACCGCCAGGGGGACGGGCCGGCGGCGCGCCTTCCATTGCCTTGGCATTCGGGCTGCCCCCCCGGCCCCTGAGGACCAGGCCTCGCAGCTGGCTTGATCTGGAGCTGGGCCATTCTCAGGAGGAAGCAGGACTGCGATCCTCTCTGCAGAGAGTTGGGCTGGTCACATGGGTGTCTGTCGGCCGGCCAGAGCAGCTGTTGCCATTTTTGGTGTGTGTGTGATGGGGAATAGCTACCTAACGGGAAGGCCTGCGTGTCTCCACACGTACAGACGGCCAGTATGTCCACAGGAGAGGGGAGGGTTCTGTGTTGGGGGTGGAAAATGTTTCTTTCCAGCTCTTCAGGACCCCTCGTTAGGGAGGAGGTCTCAGGAGGGGCAACTCCCTTGGGTGAGGCATCACTGGACCCTCACCCTGTGTGTGTGGTTCTTGCTGAGGAGGGAGTCTGGCACCCTCATGCCTGTCCTGACTCCTGATCCCTCTGGACAGTGGGTCCTTTCCAGAGAAGCCTTCCTGCTGTCCGGTTGGCGATTCTTTAAGAATGAAGTGACACATCAGAATATCCCAGCTTCAGGAGTCCATCCTGAGAAATGGTGGCTGGGGCTCCTCATGAAGGTTTAGGGGTCCAGGGAGCCCTATGCAGACATCTGTGGAAAAAGTACTCAATTTGGCCAGTCCCTTGAGGGGTTGACTACCCTGGGGTTATGTAGTCAGTCAGTAGCCGGAGTCTGAGTGACTTCCTGTGGAAGTAGGCACAGTGGCGAAACCAGTAGCAGCCCTTTTCACAGTTGAAGGATCAGATGAGGGCTGGTGCTGTGGCGCAGAGAGTTAGGCCTCTGCCTGCAGTGCTGGCAGCCCACATGAGCACCAGTTGGAGTCCCGGCTGCTCCACTTCCGATGCAGCTCCCTGCTGATGCGCCTGGGGAAGCAGCAGAGGATGGCCCAAGTGCTCGGGCCCCTGCACCCATGTGAGAGACCCAGAACTCTTGGCTCCTGCCTTCAGCCCGGCCCTGCCCTGGCTGTTACAGCCATTTGGAGAGTGAACCAGTGGATGGAAAATCTCTCCTTCCTATTTCTGCCTTTTAAATAAATAAGGGGCTGGCACTGTGGCATAGTGGGTAAAGCCGCCGTCTGAGGTGCTGACATCCTGTATGGGTGCTCATTCAAGTCCCAGCTGTTCCACCTCCAATCCAGCTCCCTGTTAATGGCCTGGGAAAGCAGAAGATGGCCCGAGTGCTAGGGCCCTTGCACCCACATGTGGGACCTGGAAGAATCTCCTGGCTCCTGGCTTTGAATCCACCCAGCTCCATCCATTATAGCCATTTGAAGAGTCAACAGGTGGATGGAAGATTTCTCTTTCTCTCTCTCTCTCTGTGACTCTGCCTTTCAAATAAATAACCCCCCCCCCCCGAAAAAAACCACAAACCTGGCTGAGCGCGCCCCCTGCTGGAGGCTCAGAGTTTGTGCTCTTCATTAGTGCTGTCCATAGACTCGCACCAAGCCCCTTGTTTCCTGATGGCCACTTTTTTTTTAAAAATGAACATAAGGTTTTTTAAAAAGGAACATAAGGGTGATTCACAAACACACCTTTTTACTTGAAAGGCAACGTGACAGAGATCTGTCTGGTGGTTCACTCCCCAGATGCCCCCCACAGCTGGGACTGGGCCAAGCTGAAGCCAGGGGCCAGAAACCCCATCTGGGTCTCCCATGTGGGTGGCAGGAACTCAAATACTTGAGTCACCACCTGCTGCCTTCCATGGTGTGCGTTAGCAGAAAGAGGTCTTCCATCCCCTGGTCCACTCCCCAGACACCCGAAACAGCCTGGGCTGAGCCAGGTGAAAGCTGAGGGCCTAGAACTCCATTCTGTTGCCAGGTGTCTGGTGGGCCACCACCGTCATCTGCTGTTTTCCCGGGAACATTAGCAAGAAGCAGGCTAGGAAGCTGAGCCGCCAGGACTTGGCCTGGCGCTCTGATAGCGGACGCCCTCTACACCACATGGTGGCTCCCTCGAGGTTAATTTCCTAACGGTAGATATTATTTGGTCAGAAATATTTCAACAAGAAGCAAATAATGAAAAAACTAAGCTGTTTCATATTCCTTTTGTGTGCGTGTGCGTGTGCGGGGAGGTGGTCAGTCATTGGCGTCTGGTGCTCATTTCTGCTTCCAGCCTTTCTTGATTTGCACTGGCCACACCTGGCCACTGTTTAGGACTGCACAGCTTTGTGGACACTCCAGTTAGAAACCAAAGTGACATGGTTTAGTTTCTGGCTTTAGACATTTTAGGTTTATTTTTTTTATTTTTTTCTTTTTTTAAAGATTTATTTAAGGGGAGGGAGAAGCTATTGTAATCCATAAGCTGTACTTTGGAAATTATATTCATTCAATAAAAGTTTAAAAAAGATTTATTTATTTATTTGAAAGTCAGAGTTACACAGAGAAAGAAGAAAGAAGGAGAGGCAGAGAGATAGAGATCTTCCATCCACTGGTTCACTCCCCAAATGGCTGCAACTACTGGAGCTGCGCCGATCTAAAGCCAGGAGCCAGGAGCTAAGAGCCTCTTCTGGGTCTCCCATGTGGGTGCAGGGGCTCCATTACTTGAGCCATCACTGCTGCCTCCCAGGGTCTGCATCAGTAGGAAGCTGGAATCAGGAGCAGCGCCAGGTCTTGAATCCAGTTACTGGTTAGGGAATGCGATGTCTTAACCACCCTGTTAACAGCTGTTAGACCAAACGCCTGCTCCTCCAGAAACATGGTAAAGGCATCAGTGTCATCCCCTATGGAAAGTCAGATCTCAGTGTAGTTGAGAATGCAGGTTACCCAGGAAAACCATACCAGAATCAGGACCAGAACGTGAGGCGCAGAGTAACCTCTTGGAAGGGACGCAAGACTTCATCGTCCAGAGACTGCAGCTTGGCCAGCCAAGCTGGGGCCTGCAGCTCCTGTCAGCCCTCGAGTCCCAGCGTCGGCCACTGAGGCCTGGGCCCCAGCTGAAGAGCCTGCTTTTTCTTTCCCCAGCCTTTCGCTTTGGTTTTATTTTCCTACTTCTTGGTGACGTTTCCATCTGTCTAAAATGGCAGTTTCCAGCTGTCCTCTCCAGGTGTGGGCGCTCACCTGCGGGTGAGGTTGGTGAGGACGTGGATGTGCGAGTAGGTGGCAGGCACACCAAGAAGCCCCGTCTGCCTCATCTGTTAGTGACCTTCCCCTCTGCTTGGGGTGGTGCCTGCGTGCATGCATGTTTGTTTTTCCCTGATGCACACACCTCCTGTGGCCTTGCACCAGCAGCCCTTCAGTCCCACGTCTGTTTTCCTGCAGCCAGGCTGACAGAGGCACAGCTGGTTCCAGTACAATTCTCCCTGCTCTGTGTTTAGTTCTGTGAGGTTGAGCCCCAGTCCTGGTACAGGAAACTCCCTCCCTCCCCTGCAGATCGTGGAGTGCCCCCTTATGTAAGTGCCCCCGGCAGCCCCAGCACCACCGATCTGTTTTCTCTCCCTGTGGTTTTGCCTTTTCAGGAATGTTGTGTAGATGGAGCTGTACAGCGAACAGTGTGTGTGTGTAGGGAGAGTTTTCACCTCTTCTGTTTGCTGCTGAGTAGACTGCTCTGTGTGGATGATCTGAATTGGTTTATCCAGTTACCAGTTGAAGGCCATTGGGTTGTTTCCAGTTTGAGGCAAAAACTTAGGATTTCTGAGCAGCTGCCTTGACCTTCTACGCTTGGCTTGGTAAACTTTGCCCACTGCCTCTGTACCTCTGCCCATGGCCATGGTGCCGGATGGCACTGGGCATTGGTCCTGGGGAGGGAGGTGTAGGACCAGCAGAGCAGCAGGGGAGCACAGGGGGAGGGTGGGGACTTTTCTCCCTTGAGTTTTCTGTGTCTGCGTATTGTGGGCTCAGCAGCAGCTCAGGATCAGAGGAACTGGGTAGGTCCTGACGCGAGTCCTCTGCAGGCTTGGTGGCATCTGCCATGGCCTTGTATGGTGGCCAAGTCCTGAGGCTTGAAACTAGGGAGGCGTGCGGGTCTGTGTGTGCTGGGCGGCAGCCCGACGTGGGCACTGCTGCGGGGCTTAGTGCAGGTGCACACAGGCTTCCTGGAGGGGAGGAAGGATGCTGTGAGCAGGGCCCCTGGTTCTCTCAGTTAATCACAGTTCGCTGGGCTCAGCCTGTCTGGATTCACACTGGCTTCCTCCTGTGTCAGAGCTGACAGTCTGAGGGGTGGGGTGGCCTCGAGGGGCTGATGTTGGGCTAAGAGCAACAGCTCTCCAGCTAAGGCTGGAGAGGGAGCCAGGCATTGTGGTTGAGAGTGGGGGCCGCAGGATGGGGGAGCATAGCCCACATGGAGGCCTGACGTGGGGCTGCTTGGCGCTGGCGCCCCCCGCGGAGGTGAGAGCCAGGCGCCTGTGTGAGCTGTTTCCTGGCTGGGCCCGCAGAGGCCGTCGAGCTGTGTCTCGTGAAGATTTTTGTTGCAGAGAGGAGTCTCGGTCGTCGGCCGAGTGCTGTAAAGGCCTCGGGGCCCTCGTGCTTGCAGCTTTTTCCTCGGGAAATCCAGCTGTCAACGCTGGAGACGTCTGCTCCCACCTGCTGCTGCTGTGCCCTCACGGGGAGGTGACCCTGTCGTTCTCTCGGTCCTGCAGATGCTGGCTGACGACGCAGAGGCGGGCGCTGAGGATGAGAAGGAGGTTGAAGAGCTGAAGAAGCAGGGCATCAACCCCCTGCCCAAGCCGCCCCCTGGCGTGGGACTCCTGCCCACTCCCCCTCGGCCCCCTGGACCCCCGGCTCCCACCTCTCCCAACGGCAGGCCCATGCAGGGGGGCCCCCCACCGCCACCGCCACCCCCTCCCCCACCCCCTGGGCCCCCTCCGATGCCCATGCCGGTGCACGAGCCGCTGTCCCCGCAGCAGCTGCAGCAGCAGCAGGACATGTACAACAAGAAGATCCCCTCCTTGTTTGAGATCGTGGTGCGGCCCACGGGACAGCTGGCCGAGAAGCTGGGTGTGAGGTGAGTGCTGGGGCTGCAGGGAGCCTGGCGGGGCCGGTCCGGCCTGCCTCTGCAGCTGTTGGAGGCCTGGTGCAGGCCTGTGACCTTGGGTCCGGAAACCGTGCCCTCTCCTTGGAGGATGTGGCCCCGCCCTTCCTGTGCAGCTGCTCTCACAGGCACCGTTTCCTCCTCCTCTAGGTTCCCTGGACCTGGTGGACCCCCAGGGCCGATGGGCCCAGGGCCCAACATGGGACCTCCAGGGCCAATGGGGGGCCCCATGCACCCTGACATGCATCCGGATATGCACCCCGACATGCACCCTGACATGCACCCTGACATGCCGATGGGCCCTGGCATGAACCCCGGCCCACCCATGGGCCCCGGCGGCCCCCCGATGATGCCCTATGGTCCTGGAGACTCCCCGCATTCTGGAATGATGCCCCCCATTCCACCAGCCCAGAACTTCTATGAGAACTTCTACCAGCAGCAAGAGGGCATGGAGATGGAGCCAGGACTCATTGGGGACGCAGGTATGCAGGGCTCCGGGTTGGCTACCCAGGGCCACTTGGCTCAGGAGGGTGGGATTTTTGTCTGTGGGGCAGGTGTCTGAAAGCAGGCACCTGAGTCCCATCGTGTGCCCTCGGGTGGCTGAGTGTTCCAGTTACGCGGGAGGGCATTCTGTTGATCAGCAGTATCACTTGGGGATTTTTCACACATTTTGCTCAGTGTGCCTAGAACCGGGAGTGGGATCCTATTGGGAACAAGTCAGGTGCCCTGGCCGAAGCCACCTCCTTACAGACAGTTCTTGGCTGGTGCCAGTGTCCACCCTGTGACCCACGTTCTGTCCCATGCCTGGCCATTCTCCTTCCTTTTGTATTGTTGACTTGAATGTCAGATGCAGCACTGGAGAAAGCGTGTACGTTCTGGGGAGAGGGGATTTGAGGCCTGGCCAGCGGTCAGAGCAAGCGAGGAGCGACAGCCTCCACGGCAGCTGCCTCTCAGTGCGAGGGCAGCAGACAGGAGATTTGGAAGTAAATGAATGAGCTCATTTCAGCAGTGGCTATTGTTAGAAGATGGGGTGAGGGGTGCCTTGGCAGGGGTGGTGAGCAAAGGCCTCTGGGAAGCAGCGTGTGGCTGAGAGGGAGGAAAGAGGCAGCGCAGGGCTCAGGGTTCATGTTGAGCACAGCCAGCTTGTCTGGGAGAAGCAGAGGTAGCTGCGTGGCCTGGAAAGGGGAGACGAAGGAGAGAAGTCCAGCATGCATCAGACTGCTGGGCAGCCGTGCAGGGTGGCCACACTGCTGTGAGGAATTGGGACTATGCTGGGGTGGCCAGTGATGGGGCCAGAGTGGAGTGAGGGGGCTCTGGAAAGCTGGGCTGCTCTGGAGTTGTCTTGGGCAGAAGTGAGCAGGCGACGGCCATGAGGCGGCCTTGAATGGCCTGGGTAGGCTTGCAGGGAGGCAGGAGTGGCTCAAGGGTGCTGATGGGGGCAGAGCTCCCTGGTGCAGCCACACCTGCGGGGGTGCCCGGGTGCTTCCTCCCTGGCCACTTGGAGCGTGGGCTCCTCAGAGCCCTTCCAGGGAGATGCAAAGCGGTAACCTAACGCTGCGCCACAGTGCTGCCCGCGCCCCCCCCCCCCCCCCCCCCGAAGTTTTGAGAGGGTGATTGAGGGCCTCAGGGAGACCCCGGCAGAAGATGTAGATGCGAGGCTTTGGCGTCCAGAAGGGTTTGGAGCCGTGGCGCAGGCGTTGGAGGAAGGAGCAAGGGCTTCAGAGGGTAGGGAAGGCAGACCACAGGGAGTAAGGTGCTGGGGTTCCTGGGCCCTCCCCTTAATAAACGTACCTCAGACGCGCGTGACAGAGTGCTGTGGGGGACGGACGCCAGAGCTGGTCAAGCTGTTAGCAGCAAGTGTCTCTAACTTCCTGTTTTAAAAAAAATCAGAAATGACTCCCACACCATAAAAAGTGCCACTCTGAAGCTTGCAGGTAGTGGATTTTACTAGATTCATGCTTGTGCAGCTGTAGGCTCGGCTCCGTGACTGTTGCACAAGGGGTTCTTGACTGGTTTGGTCAGTGACCTCAGTTCCCATCAAGTTCCTGTAGCCAAGTACAGGCACTAGCAGAGGCGAACTTTGACTTGGTTGCTTCATATACTCTTCTCTTCTCTTCTCTTCTCTTCTCTTCTCTTCTCTTCTCTTCTCTTCTCTTCTCTTCTCTTCTCTCTTCTCTCTTCTCTCTTCTCTCTTCTCTCTTCTCTCTTCTCTCTTCTCTCTTCTCTCTTCTCTTCTCTTCTCTTCTTTTTCTCTCTTTCTCTCTTCCTTTCTTTCTTTCTTTCTCTTTCTTATTTGACAAATACAGTTAGACAGTGAAAGAGACAGAGGGAAAGGTCTTCCTTCTGTTGGTTCACCCCCCAAATGGCTGCCACGGCACCGGCCCTCATGTAGTTTTCGAAGTGAAACACAGATCTGCTGATTTCTCAGCCTCCTGATCTAACGTAACGGACAGGGTAGTTTCAGGAGCTTGGAGGCCTGTGCTGTGCGCTGCAGGTGTCCCCGCCAGTGCAGAGCGCTCCCCGAGGCAGCCTGATGCCAGACTCACAGTCTTAGAGCTCCTTGGGTTTTATTTTTTGGTTTGTTTGTTTGTTTTTGTTTCTCTTTTTAAGATGTATTTTACTTATTGGAAAGGCAGAGTTACAGAGAGTGGGAGGGAGAGATAGATCTTCCATCCACTGGTTCACTCTCCAAATGGCCACAACAACTGGGGCTGGGCCAGGCCAGAGCCAGGAGCTTCATACAGGTCTCTGATGCGGCTGCGGAGACCCGAGAAGTTGGGCCGTCCTCTCCTGGCTTCTCAGGCACATTAGCAGGGAACAGGATCGGGAGTGGAGCACTGGGACTTGGCTGGAACCCATATGGGATGGCAGCGTTACAGGCGGTGGCTTAGCCCGTTATGCCACGGTGCTGCTCCTCCCCCTTTTTATTTATGTATCTATGTATGTATGTATTTAAGATGTATTTATTTACTTAAAAGTCAGAGTTACACAGAGAGGAGAGGCAGAGAGTGAGAGAGGGGTCTTCCATCTGCTGGTTCATTCCCCAGATGGCCACAATGGCCAGAGCTGTGCCGATCTGAAGCTAGTAGCCAGGAGCTTTTTCCAGGTCTCCTACACGGGTGCAGAGGCCCAAGCACTTGGGCCATTGTCTACTGCTTTCCCAGGCCACAGCAGAGAGCTGGATCAGAAGTGGAGCAGCTGGGACTTGAACTGGCACCCATATGGATGCAGGCACTGCAGGTGGCGGCTTTACCTGCTACGCCACAGTGCTGGCCCCAACTCCTCCCCTTTTTAAAAAATTTATTTATTTTCTTTGAAAGAGAGAGAGAAAATCTTCCTTCTACTGGTTTACCCCCAGATGACCACAGTGGTCAGCACTGTGCCAGCCCAGAGCCAGGAGCTTCATCCGGGTCTCCCATGTGGGTGGCAGGGGCCGAACACCTGGGCCTTCTTCAGCTGCTTTTCCCAGGAAGGGTCGTGAAGGGGTGCGGACATCCCAGGCAGCAGCTTTACCCGCTACGCCGCAGCGCTGGCCCCTAGTGGCTCCTTTAAGGAGTGCAGGCAGCCCCTTCGCCTTCAGCTAGCTCCCTTAGCTGCTGCGGGGGAGAGCCCCGCCCAGTGCCACAGGAGTTACTGGAGTTCAGAGACTGAGGGAGGAGAGGAAGAATCAGGCAGGCGCCTCCGGGTGAGGTCAGGCCACAGTGACAATAGGTTCTTTCAGTGTCTTTTTCTCCTGGTTTTGGTTTACCGTGATTGAGCTCTTAGCACGGCTCCCTGTGAGATGCGTCGTGTTTCCTTACTGATTATTACAAAGAAACCATGACACTGCGGCAGGCAGTGAAACAGATGAGGAGCGTGTGATGGGGAAGCGAAAGCTCTGTCTCCTGAGTCTCCTTCCCAGAGGAGCCGCCTCTGTCTGCCCAAAGCCCCTCCTGGCATCTGGCACACACATGCCCAGCGTCCTGTCTGCGCCTCGTGAGCACTGTGCCTGTCACATGCCACCTCCTTGGGGACCTCATGCCCCCGCTCCCAGGGTCGGGCTCTGCACAGGCACTGACCCGGGGTGGGGGTGGGGGGCAGGGCAGGACTGGCTGCATGTTCTCAGCTGGCATCTGCAGGGGTTGTCTTTTCCGGCTAGGGGCGGGGGGGTGGAGGTGGAGCTGGCGCCTCATGGCCTCCCCGACGTGAACCCTCGGTTCTTCCCTGCCGCAGAGGACTACGGGCACTACGAAGAGCTGCCGGGGGAGCCTGGGGAGCATCTCTTCCCCGAGCACCCTGTGGAGCCCGACAGCTTCTCTGAGGGAGGGCCCCCAGGCCGGCCGAAGCCGGGCGCCGGTGTCCCCGACTTCCTGCCCTCGGCCCAGAGGGCCCTGTACCTGAGGATCCAGCAGAAGCAGCAGGAGGAGGAGGAGAGAGCGAGGAGGCTGGCTGAGAGCAGCAAGCAGGACCGGGAGAATGAGGAAGGCAGGTGTCCTCCCAGGGGCAGGCGAGGGGGGACTCCCAGGCTGGCTTGCTGTCCAGGGCCAGGAAGCCAGGCTGGGCTGCTGCATGTCCCTGAGGATCCTGAAAGTCAGGGCTGCCCTGTGTCCGGACTCTGGGGAGACCCTGATCCCATGGGGGAGGGTGGTGGGCTAGTCCCTGGAGCAGACAGGAGCCAGCACCTTCCCGGGGGCCTTTAGGGGAGACCCTCACGGCCCCTTTCCCTAAGACCAGGCTCTCAGGAGCCAAGAGATAAAACACAGTCGCTGCAGGCAGCCTGTGATGACCAGGGGTCGGCGCGCAGCCCACCTGGAGGCTCCCGCACTGGGTGAGCGGAGGCCGCAGCCCCGGAGCCACTGGGCGCAGCAGAAGAGGGACACAGCAGGCGGCCCCTCCCTGGTGCCAGGAAGGTTCTCCCTGGGCCAGTGTCTGACCTGCCACGTGGCCCCACCTCTTTACAGCTGGTGACTGCTGTTGCACAGCACCTGGTCTTCCCTGGGACACTGTAACCTTTTGAGGGGCCCGAGGGAAGCATCTGTGAGCCCCTTGCCCGGGGAGAGCCGTCAGCGCTGGCTGCTGCTGAGACCTGCAGAGGGGCCTGGAGCCCTGACAGTGTGGAGGGGCAGGGGAGTCCCCGCTCAGCCCTGCCCCTGCCTCCTGGGCCTGTGATGGGAGGAAAGCTCCCCTGTATGCCAGCCGTGACCCTCCTGGCCCTGTGCCCACTCGCCCCAGTGCCCTGGGTCTCCTTGGCTGCCACTGGGGGCGGGGGGAGTCTTGAGAGGGGCAAGGCCGAAGTTCTGAGAAGCGAGAGCAGAGGAGCCACCTGCCCAGGGGGCTGCCGTGCGACCTGTGTGGGCGGGTATGGACGTGGTGGCCACTCAACCCCTCTCGCACCTCTGCTCTTCCTCAGGTGACACCGGAAACTGGTACTCGAGTGACGAGGACGAAGGGGGGAGCAGCATGACCTCCATCCTCAAGACCCTCAGGCAGCAGACGTCCAGCCGCCCTCAGCCTGCGGTCGGGGAGCCGAGCGGCAGCGGGCTGGGGGGCCCACGCCTCCAGAAGGGGCACCCCACAGGGGGCCGGCTGGCCGACCCCCGCCTCAGCCGGGACCCCAGGCTCAGCCGTCACGCCGAGGCTGCTGCAGGCTCCGGCCCGGGGGACACGGGGCCCTGCGACCCTCGACTTGCTCGCTCTCTGCCGGCCTCCAAGCCTGAGGGCAGCCTGCATTCCAGCCCCGCAGGCCCAAGCAGTTCCAAGGGGTCTGGGCCACCCCCCACAGAGGAAGAGGAAGGGGAGCGGGCACTGCGGGAGAAGGCTGTGACCATTCCCCTGGACCCCCTGCCGGGACACCCGCTGCGGGACCCTCGGTCACAGCTGCAGCAGTTCAGCCACATCAAGAAAGACGTGACCCTGAGCCGGCCCAGCTTCGCCCGCACTGTGCTGTGGAACCCCGAGGACCTGATCCCTCTGCCTATCCCCAAGCAGGATGCGGTGCCCCCTGTGCCCGCTGCCCTGCAGTCCATGCCTGCCCTGGACCCCAGGCTGCACCGGTCCACCCCCACGGGCCCCCCCAATGCTCGGCAGCGCCCGGGTACCTCCACGGACCCCAGCACACCTGGCTCCAGTCTGCCCGACTTTGAACTCCTCTCTCGAATCCTCAAGACTGTCAACGCCACCGGCCCCTCCGCAGCCCCTGGCCCAAGCGACAAACCCAGCGACCCCCGGGTGCGGAAGGCCCCCACCGACCCTCGGCTGCAGAAACCAACAGACTCTGCGGCCTCTTCCCGGGCAGCCAAGCCTGGCCCCACCACCGACGCATCCTCCCCGGCCGCCAGCCCCAGCGGGGAGTCCTCTCCACCAGCCACAGCTCCCTATGACCCCCGTGTGCTGGCGGCCGGCGGTCTGGGTCAGGGCAGCAGCAGTGGGCAGAGCAGCGTGCTGAGCGGCATCAGCCTCTATGACCCGAGGACTCCCAACTCCGGTGGCAAAGCTGCGGAGCCAGCTGCCGACGCAGGCACCCAGTCCAAGGGCCCTGAGGGCAACGGCAAAAGTTCAGCCTCCAAGGCCAAGGAGCCTCCGTTCGTCCGCAAATCTGCCCTGGAGCAGCCAGAGACAGGGAAGGCCGGCGCCGACGGGGGCGCAGCCACAGCCACAGACAGATACAACAGTTACAACCGGCCCCGGCCCAAGGCGGCCGTGGCCCCCACAGCCACCACAGTCACCCCACCACCCGAGGGCACCGCGCCCCAGCCTGGGGTGCACAACCTGCCCGTGCCCACCCTCTTTGGGACCGTGAAACCAGCGGCCAAGACAGGCTCAGGAAGCCCGTTTGCAGGCAACAGCCCAGCCCGCGAGGGAGAGCAGGACGCAGGGTCCCTGAAAGACGTGTTCAAAGGCTTTGATCCCACTGCCTCCCCCTTTTGCCAGTAGTGTTGAGCCGGAGCCAGCATTCTCTCCACTCCACCCAATCCCAGAGTGATGGTCAAGGGCAGACCCTGCAGTTGGGAACCTGGGGGTGGAGGGTGGGTCTGGGTGACCTTTTTTTTTGACTTTTCTTTTCCTCCCTTCCTTTTATTTTTTTTTTTAAGTAGTACTTCCTTTGAGACTTATAAATTGTATATAACCATCCTCCGTTCTGGTCAGTGCTGCAGGGTTCCTAGCCTCCCACCAAGAAAACCCACTTGTGTACGCGAACCATCCTGGGTCCCCAGGCCTGAGCCACCATCAGTGCTGTGCCAGGCCAGGCCTCCCTGGAGGTGGGGGCCTCGTCTGGTGGGTTTTCTGGGCAAAGCTTGAGACCCCCGCCACCCACGCAAGGGGACAGTGTCGTCCGAGAAGGCACTGAGGTCGCGCACCACTCCATGCTGTGGAGCAGTAGGAGCTGGAAGCAAGACAGGCAGGACTGCGAGGAAGCAGGGTCAGAGAGCCCTCAGCACCCTGGACGCAGTGCTCCCTGGCCCGTGCCTGGGGCCCTCTGCACCCTGTCCAGACCCACGCTCTGGAGCCCGCAGCAGGAGAACGCACGTGAGGGGCCCTCAGAGCGCATGCTTTCTGTCAGTATTACCCGTCCTGACCTGTCCCATCCGTTTACTGCCCGCAGAGGGGTCTCCTGGACCTTGGCGGCCACAGCACCCTATGTGCCTCCTGGGACAACTCAAGGATCCATTGTGTGGCCACTCGGTCAGGGTCCTGAGGGTGGAGCCCAGGGTGGCTCTTGGGCAAAGTGTTCCTGGCTCTGCTTCCTGGGCACCTTGGGAGGGCACAAGGTGTCGGTGTGCACGGGCTCAGGAGTGTGCCATGATGTTTCTCTGTGTGCACTCTTCCCAAAAAGGGGTCTGAGGAAAGGGCTGGAAGCTGCAGCCAGTGGGGGAGCGGGTGTACATTGGGCCCTCCCTTTCCAGGAGAGGGACCAGAACCCCTCTCGGGACACAGGAACCCAAGGCAGCAGTCTGTGGCGGGCTGTCCCTCCCCTCGTGCTGCCACCCTGCCGAGTGAGGTCCGTCCACGTAGCCGCAGAGGAAGCCATCCCCGTGGACGAGGCCTGGGAGACAGCTGAAGGGAGCTGGCGAGGCGCGAGTCCTTCATAAGTGCTAGGTGTCTCCTGACCCACTGGCTCTTCCCTGCTAGTGACGAGGAGACGCGGGCACCTCCCTAGGGAGGGGGGGTGAGCGAGGCTCCTGCACTGTACCCACCACCCGGCAGAGAGCAGAACCTGCGTGGTTCTGGAGCCAGAAGCTGGGGTGGAAAAGCCAGTGGGCTGTGATCGGGGCGGCTTGATCTGTCTGTTGTTTTGTTTTGTTTCATTTACAATCATCAGTGAGATTGGTCTTCAGCCACCGGTGCCGGCCGGGGCTGGGCTGCGGCTGTGGGTTTATGAGATAAGTGAGGATACACAGTGTGGCAGTGTTGGGTTTTTCCCCCTTCCTTTGAGATTTTTTTTTTTTTTTTTTGTAAAAGAAAAATACTTTTTTAAAACCAAAATCTTTGGATGAAATAAGTAGAAGCTGGAACCCTCCTCGTGGAACGTTCAGCCTAACAACCTCACGGGACATGAATTACCCCCGAATTCTCCTTTGCCATCAGGCCGAGCTTTTAAAGAAAAATTGTTCTCTAACCAGGATTGTAACAAAAGTGTAAATAGTATTTCAGAGTTGAAGTTGCTGGTGCAAATATGTATATAACGTACTGTATTTTTACAATGGTCGTCGCATGACTGTCCCCCCTTTTTGTACTCCGTCTGTCTTCCATGTCACCTGCCTTTACTCCTGTGGTCTCCTAATCCGATAATTGTATTACTGCCATTAAAGGATGCAGTTATTTTAAAAAGCCGTGGGTCTCATCTCCCTGTGCTGTCCCCACCATCGCTGTGATTGGGGTGGGTGGGAGGAGTGGAACTCACCCCGGGTCCCCGAGTGCGCGAGCAGGACGGGGGCCCACTCGCCAGGCGGTGAGGAGTCTGCTCTCCACCCACAGGGGGCCATGTCTCTCGGGCCAGTCTTGGCCTCTGTTACGGCGGCCTGTGTGGTTTTCCATGGCTGCGGTACGCGTTCCCACAGAGGCGACACGGATTTGTTATCCTGTGGGTCTGGAAGTCAGAACTGGGTCAGTCTTAGTGAAAATCCAGTTGTTGCCAGGCATGCGGTTCCTTCTAGAGCAGCCTGGCAGCCTGCCCCTGGTGCAGTCAGAAACTCCCGGCATACTCCTTCGCACTGGCTGTCTTGGTGCCTGGCATCACCGTCATCTCATTGGAGCACTTGGTGTGGGCACTGAAGAGGCGTTGGCTCCTGGCAGCATGGCCTGCTGGCTGGGCTGGGGCCACGAGGGCTGGGCAGACAGGGCCTGGGAGTTGAGGCAGATGTGCCGGGGAGAGCCTTGCAGGCCTCGGAGGTCTGAGCAGAGCTTGTGTTAACAGTAGGGTAGTAGACCCAGAGAATAGAAGACAGGCCAGGGCGCCTGGTGGGACAGTGCGGGGGTGCAGGGGTGCTGCGGGCAGATGGATTTGACGTCCATCATGCAGAGGGCAGGGCTGAGATGTTTCCTTGCTGAGATGGGCATAGCGAGGACAGGGGCGTGGTCTGGTGAGGGCTGGGCCCCGGGCTGGGAGGTCTTTTTGTAGAGTTCATCGATCAAGCCACAGGAACAGAAGATGGCTCTCGGGATGTGCCGGGAACCCCAAGAAAGATCAGAAGCTGAGGGAGGACTGGCATTGGACATCGGCTGCTGAGGGAGGCCCTCCCCCTGCCAAGGAGGACGGGCACAAGTGCTCCCGGGTGGCACCTGATGGTCTACCGCCAGATAACTCCTGCATGGCCTTCATTGTGCATCCGACCAGCTGTCCGTCTGTCCACCCGTCCCTCACAGTCGCCGATGCAGTTCCGAGTAAGTTTTGGGCAGAAGGCCCCCTCCTTGGCCTGTGCATCATTTAACTGGAGGTCAGTATTTGCTCCTAGTTCCTTTCTTTGCAGGTGAGACTTCCGTACTGTGAAACATAACAGGTCTTGCATGTTCTGAGAGACCCAAACCCCTATCAAGAGAAACAGAACGTCTGCAGGCCCCTTCCTGGTCAAGACAGCTCTCCCCCTCCAGGGGCAAGCACGTTGGTTTTTCCCTCTTGTCGCTTTTGCACGGGGATCGGGACGGGGATCGGCAGTTGCGTGCTTCTGTTGCTGGGCCAGCGGATCGACCCGGGCTGTGTGCCCGCCCTGCCGCTGATGTGTGGGGCGATTGTGAATGAAACTGCTAGAAAGACCTGCAGCTGGGTCTCTGTGTGGCCGCAGATTTTTCCTCTAGGGTAGTACCTGGGTGGGGCTGTTTGGTCACGGGCAGGTGTAGGTTTAGTTTTGTAAACTGTCTTCCAGATCGGTCAGCATCTTCCAGATCCCTCCAGCAGCATGTTGGATTCAATTCATTCTCCTCCTTGCCAACACTTGATGGGAGTTTTCTTGTGTGTTTTAAGATGCATTGATTTCGCCGGTGCCGCGGCTCACTAGGCTAATCCTCCGCCTTGCGGCGCCGGCACACCGGGTTCTAGTCCCGGTCGGGGTGCCGGATTCTGTCCCAGTTGCCCCTCTTCCAGGCCAGCTCTCTGCTGTGGCCAGGGAGTGCAGTGGAGGATGGCCCAAGTCCTTGGCCCCTGTACCCCAGGAGAAGCACCTGACTCCTGCCATTGGATCAGCGCAGTGCGCCGGCCGCAGTGCGCCGGCCACGGCGGCCATTGGAGGGTGAACCAACGGTAAAGGAAGACCTTTCTCTCTGTCTCTCTCTCTCTGTCCACTCTGCCTGTCAAAAAAAAAAAAAAGTATTGATTTCAAAAGCAAAGTGACAGAGATCTTCATCTGCTGGTTCAGTCCTCAGATGACCACAACACCCAGGTCTAGTCCAGGAGCCAGGAACTCCATCCGGTTCTTCCACACAGGTGGCAGGGGCCCAAGCACTTGGGCCGTCCTCCACTGCTTTCCCGGTGCGTCAGCAGGGAGCTGGACCAGAGTGGGGCAGCCGGGACTTGAACCAGTGCTCCCCTGTGGGACTCCAGCCCTGCAGGTGGCGGCTCATCCTTCAGCCACAACACCAGCCCCTTTGGTTTTCTTTCTTTTTTTTTTTTTTTCTTTTTTTTTTTTTTTTTTTTTGACAGGTAGAGTGGACAGTGAGAGAGAGAGACAGAGAGAAAGGTCTTCCTTTGCCGTTGGTTCACCCTCCAATGGCCGCCGCTGCAGCCGGCGCACCGCGCTGATCCGATGGCAGGAGCCAGGAGCCAGGTGCTTTTCCTGGTCTCCCATGGGGTGCAGGGCCCAAGCACCTGGGCCGTCCTCCACTGCACTCCCTGACCACAGCAGAGGGCTGGCCTGGAAGAGGGGCAACCGGGACAGAATCCAGCGCCCCGACCGGGACTAGAACCCGGTGTGCCGGCGCCGCTAGGTGGAGGATTAGCCTAGTGAGCCGCGGCGCCGGTCCTCTATGTGTTTTTTTTTTTTAATAAAATAAATTTCTTTTTTTAAAGATGTGTTTATTTGAAAGGCAGAGTTACAGAGAGACGGGGGTGGGGGGAGGGGAGATGTCTTCCATCTGCTGGTTCACTCCCCAAATGGCTGCAATGGTCAGAGCTGCGCTGATCCTAACCCAGGAGCCAGGAGCTTCCTCCAGGTCTCTCATGTGGGTGCAGGGGCCCAAGGACTTGGACCATCTTCCACTGTTTTCCCAGGCCACAGCAGAGAGCTGGATCAGATGTGGAGCAGCCGGGACTTGAACCGGCGTCCATATGGGATACCAGCGCTTCAGGCCAGGGCGTTAACCCACTGCACCACAGCGCCGGCCCCTACTATGTGTCTTTAAGCTGTATTTTTTTGTCACTGTGGTGGTGATTTTAAATGCTGTTGTAATCCAGAGAGCCTTGAGCCAAGTCTGCCCTGATGGTCCCATGTGGGTCCTGTCCCGGGTGGGCCAGGGAGCCCCTTGGCGCTCTCATCAGCTCACAGCCGCCCTGTGCTGCCTGCTGTGCAGCTCACCTTACCCTGCAGAGCCGCCCCTGCCCGGATCCTAGAGAACTGACTGAACTCCACTTTAGCAAAAACACTGGGGCAGCTTCTAGAGCGGCTGTTAGAAGGCACTGGAACCGAGGTGGCTGTCAGCCGGGCTCAGGGGAGGCTCCTCCTGGCTCTGACTTCCGGTCACTCCCATCTCTGCCCCTTCACCTGGCCTCCTCCTCTGGTCTCCTGTGGCTTCTGCCACTGGGCTCAGAGCCCGCCTGGGTAATTGAGGGCATCTCATCTCAGGATGTGCAAAGACCCTCTTCCGAGAGACAGCCATGCCGGTTCCTGGGGTAGGACGTGGACAAGCGTTTTTGGGGACCGCCATTCAGCCCACTCCCCTACCCTTGCAGCTGACTCCCGGGATGCAGGCAGTGGCGCGTAGCAATTGAACAAATCCCAGATGGTAGCCGATTGGGCCGTCCCTCACCAAGCAATGCAGCCTTTTCCCTACAGGGGTGGGTGGGTGGGTGGGTGCTTAGCGCTTCCCGGACTGCGGCGCCGGCCCTGGAACCCCTGGACAAGGACAAGGGGCCACAACGAAGCCCCCAAGTTCTTCAAAGCCTCGTGCGGGAAGCGCTGGCGGCCCTTCTGCTGTTTCATTGGCTAATGCGGGTCACGTGGCCGGCCTAACTTCAGTCAGGGTCTGCACTTCTAAGTGTGGCCAGCAGGTGGCGCACTAGAGTTCTTCAGAGACCGCAGCACCAAGGTCCGCCCCAGAGGGTCTCCCACCTTGCGAAGGCAGGTGCCATAGGGCGCCATCGACAATGAGAGGACGCGGCGGCCTGGAGAGGCTGCCTCTCAGGTCTGAGACTTTCCCTCCCAGGCTACCTTCCTTGCTCCCTCCCCTCTTGCCCCTCACTGCCCTGCTCGCCCATCAAGTCCCTGGAAAGGCTGCCTTCCTGGGACGCCTGCTGGCTTCTCAGGGGACCTAGGCCGCCCCCTGGGGCACGGCTGCGGTCACCCGGCGGCCCTCTGGATGTGGGGTGAAGGGTGTCCCAAAATGGCTTTGCTGCACAATGCAAAGGCAGACTGGGCTCAAGAACTGGCCGCAGCATGTGGGCAGTGCCTGGAGGGGCCTGCTTAGACAGCGAGGGGATCCGAGTTCCCCAGAGAGCCAGGTCCAGCAGGATAGACCCAGGCAGAGAGAGCGCGCTAAGCCTTTATCTCTGCATACACATGCCCCATCTGTTGTCTGGCTATACGTGTGCGGGACATAAAAATACATCCTGGTGTGATTTTTTTTTTTTTTTTTTTTTTTTGGTCAAAGCAATACTTGCACATCACCTAAAATGAAATGGTTCTGAAGCTCTTAGGACAGTTGCAAAGATCTACCCTCCACCCACCCACCCAGGGTGGCTAAGGCCACAGTGACCGGGGTAAGGGCTAAACAAGCCATGGGTGCTTCCTCACGGTTCTGGGCCTGA